CCCCCCCCGTATATCAATAAATTAAATTCTATGACTTCTGGAAATTATCTTTACATCTGATAAAGGTACTTGTTGAGAAATTACATCTCCTAGTTTTGATAGGATCTAATTATATATGCCAACACTAGTGAAACCAATTGAGTAGACAGAAGACTTACCAGTACAATTTTCACTGTAAAACAACAGACAAAGAAAAAAGAAGTCAACTTGCATGGTAAGCTCGCACAGCCTGTTAAGAGGAAAACCAAAACCTTTCATTATCTATCACCATCTTCTAAGGTTTTAATGAAATAAAAGAAGTTTTGTCTTGGTCTCTTCACCTTTTTTTGCTGTGCAAGAGAAAGTTGCAAAGATTAGAAAGAAGCATTCGTGCCATTTTAACAAAAGGTGTAATACTTAAGTAAATGAAATATCATAAATACATTTATGTACATCCTGGCTTTTTGCTGCTTCTTTTTTTTTCTTTTTTTTTTTTTTTTTTTTTGAGATAGTGCACTGTCTCTACTATGCCTTTTAAATTGGCCTATCAGAATTAGACCAAGGAAAGCCTTCAGGGAAGGATGGTGATGGAGAAAAAATAAAATTTTGTTTGCTAAGCAGACTTACATTTCTAAGCAGAACTTCAGTAATCGTGCTACGGTAGCTACTACCCTGTATCCAGATAAGAAACAAAATGTTGGATTTATTTATTGTTTACTGCTGGTTTTAATGAACCCTCTCTTCGTAGATGACTGCCCAAGTTTCTGCTGTAGTGTTGATTTTCTTCTTTAAAAATCCTAAGCCACAGGCTGTTCTCAGAATACAGGATTGGACTACAGTATTCTCATTCCTATACCTTGATATATGTGGGCATTCAGGAGGAAAAAAAATACTATGGTTGTATATTGTCAAAAAATACTTGTAATCAAATTACCAAGGATGAAATGGAAGTGAACTGATATTTGACCTTGATAGCCTAAACTTCTTTGTCCTCTATCAGGATTGAGACGTTCTTTTGTTGGTCTCCAGTTGCTATTGCCCTTGAGTCCAATCTGAGTTGAGTAGCCCCGAAGCTTTGTGCTTGCTAACCATTGTGATGCTGGGACGTACCAGTGTTTAGTGTTTGGTCAGCTGTTTCCATTGATGCATTCATCTAGGGAAATCAAGTATTATGTTTTCCTGAAAAACTATTGTAGTTTCACTTCCCTGATATGGTCACATTTCCTGCTTTTTTCCTTGCCAGGTACTTGTATTTGCTGTTTTCTGAAGATGATCTTCTTCCATTTGAACACTGGGTCTTCAACACAGAGGCTCATCCTCTCCCTGTTCTTCACAAAGATGATAGGAATAAAGAAGAAAACCAGAAATAGATGAAGATTAAGTTATACTTTGTTTGATTCATTATGTTTCTTTCCAGGACTTGGGCACATGATTTCATTTTAAATTCCTGAGTTAAATTTTTAAATCAAGTGTTTTGCAGTCTGTTTTCTTTAATGGTAAATATTTATGAATGGACACCAACTGATTCTCATAAAAATTCATTCCTCTTATCCAGCTGAACCACTTCTTAGAAGAGAAATAGGACATCTCTCCAGATTTTGTTAGGCTGCAGTGTCATCTTGGCCAAAATAAGCGGAGGTTCTGCATGTTAATTGTTTCCTGTTATGCTTTTAATTTGACTGCAAAATTCTTTTCTCCTCTGTGAGGAGATGTCTGCTTTAAGCTGTAATATTTTGCCATGTTGCAAAAAGCCATATTGAATTAAGTATAAAGAGCTTTTTTCTTTTTTTTTTTGTTCTGTTTGTTTTGTGTGTCATTGAAGACAAATCTTGTGACTGTGACAGCCTCTTCTTATGCGGGTCTATCATCACTTGGTAAAGTATCTGATGTATTTCATTGCCAATGAAGTCTACGTAGGAATATTTTCATCTCATGCAGACACAACTCTGAAACTGCAGTATATGTTGAAGTTAGTCTGAACTTAGTTTTTATAACTTTAGCACATCAGTTAGCAGACCTTAGTTTTTCAGGTTTTGATTAGAATATTGTAATAGAGTAAATTGTTTCCTCTCTTTTCTAAGTGGTGTTATTCTCATGTCTTTAGTCAGGCTAATATGGAGTAAAATAAGATAGTCATTTCATATTAAGAAGGGAGTCTTACCTTCTTTGTATATTTAGTCCAGTAGCTTTCATTTGGTTGGATGGTAAAAAGATGAAAAAGTACTCAATGACATTTTCCTGGAAGCTGAGAATTATACCAGAGACAATTTGTTTGGTTTTCTGGGACTTTTCTCAAACATTCAGATAGGTTCAGACTTGACACCAGACTTGATCGCTTATTGTCACAAAGCAATTTAATGTATCTACATGAATAAAATTAGATGTTCAGATGCCTTGAAGGAAAGGTGTCTTCTTTTAAAAGAAGATAATCATTCAGAAAGGAAATTAATTATCCAGTGTTGAACTAAAACTTTCTGAAAGCACCAAGTCTGTCTTCTCTAAGTTACAGAAATGCAGTGTGCTTAAACTTATTCCCTAGATTAGAGGCCTGGTTTACTAAGAAAGTAAACAGCTTTGCCAAAAATGTTTTACTTTGTAGCATCACCAAAGGGGAAAAAAATAGGCACAATTCATTTCTGTTTCTACTTAAGTGTAGCTTGGAGTGGTTTACATGATTATTAAGTCTACCTATGTTTTGATTTAATTTGAGTAGTGTAGAACACCTGACTTCCCATCCTAGAAGCACATTATTCACCGAGTTAACTGCAGCAAAACAAATATAGTTCTGAAGAGTAATCTTCTTTAAAGGTATTCAGTAAGATAGCCCACATGTCCGGCATAGGTAATCACAGCTGAGGAAGCACATTTGTTTAGGCATTACGGAGTACATTTTTTTCTACACTGCTAGAGGTCTGCAATGTAGTCTTTCTTAGGTAGAAGCCAAGAGCAAAGATAATGGCTTACATTTTTGTGAATGGGTCAGCCTCCAGCTGCTAAAAACTTGATGCTCTGGAGCCTGTAAAGACAGCACTGCCTCTCTGCTTCCCCTGCAGACACAGAAGATGGCACGTGCCACGTGAGTAGCCAAAGACATTTATGTAGGGAGCAAGGCAAGAGGACCTTCAGTGATGCTGGTCCTTCCACGTGCGTTCGTATGTGGAAGGTAGTGGGGGGTACCCTGCTGAGCCTGAGCAACCCAGGGCTGGGAGAAGGGATACAAACGTGTGTGCATCTGCCTCAGATAAAGCCTGCTTACATGGAACCCCGTGCATTGAGTCAAGACTTTCTGGTTTACTGGGGGTTTTTTTAAATTATTATTAATTATTATTTTCTTTTTGAAAGTATGAATTCCCTCATGTCACAGTAACAGTTTTCTGAAGCAGAAGCAAGGCTTAAGTAAGTCTTGTCTCTCCTCTGTTGAAAAGCAGAATGCCTGCTGATTGTGATACCCCAGAATTTGTATCATTGGAGGACTATAATATTGCATTGCATTTCTTCAGAAACAGTATTTATAAGGGGGCTTTTTTTTCCCCTCCCCTTAAGTACCACAGAGAAATTATAGCTATGGAATAAAAACAAAAATTCTCTTCCCTGTTTAACTGAAAAGTAATAAAAATTACTTTTGCCTTAGATATGTTTACTGGGTCACCTGCTGCTGCCTACCACATGGTTGTGCATGTGCTGCTATAGGCCTCATATCAGTTAAATAACTACAGTAGCTCAGACAAAAACAGTCTTTGAAAAAATGTTTCGTAAGCCTCTTTTACATGGTTTTCTTAACCACAGTATGCTTCCCCCAAGTGTGTCTAGTGATCTTGCCTTTACTTAACAAGCTGAAGAGAAACCGTGGAGAACCAGATAGCTCTTCTTGTTTCAAGAAGCAGGCTACACACACACACACCCCCCCCCTTGTATGCTTTGGGTCCTATGTACTTAAATATAAGCTTCATGACTGTTTCCTTCTAAGACACACATTTAGTATATTTATTTTTTTTTTACTTTGGGAGTTACGATGATTTGAAGGAGCACAAATTTGATGTGACTGGTATTGGTATTCAGGTTGTATGTACAAACTGCACTATACTGTACTTTTTGTAAACTAATGTAAGTAGACGAGAAGATTGTACAACGTGTAGATCTGCCAACTGTAAGAAAAAAAACACCTTTTCATAAACTGAGAATATATTGATTTTTCTTCCTTTATTTTTTTTTAAATAACCCTAAAACACCAAAGTTAGAGCAGTCATTTTGAAACAGTCAGTACTCACCCCTGCTTGTTAGATTGCTGAGATAACATGCATTTTTATTTCCTGTTCACTTAACTGGCTGCATGGAAGTGGCTAGTGGTAGTCACTTTGTGTTCCCAGTCCTTCATAAGAGCAAAAGCAATTGCTTTACTGTTGGAGCAGGAGGCATCATCTCTGCATAAACACGCTGCCTATACTTTTTCCATTTCTTTGTAGGATAATAATGCATTTAAATCTGCATATGTTAAGTCCTAAGAGGTAAATCTCTTTAAATGGCAACCACATTGTTTCATGGGGAAAAATGTTTTAATTGTTTGTGAGATAAGTATTGCATATGTATTGATTGTACACAGATTTTTTTGCAATGCCCAATGTACACAGATTTTTTTGCAATGCCCAATGGCTCACTGTTTCTATGGTGACGTCATCATACATATTATCCATTTCTATCATGCATTTAAATTGGTTTTGATTTGTACATAGTCCATTTAGTCTTTTCATCTTTATAATAGAAAATGAAATTATGGAATACATAATAGATCAAGATGCTTAATTTTTAAGAACTTATATTTGTAAAAATTTCTCTATTGTGAATAAAGTCTTTTAATATATCTGCTAAACTTGTTATAATTTTTCCTAAGTCTGTTGCAGAAGTAGCTACAGGAATCTGCTGTGTAGTCTGGTTTGGCTGCTATACTCATGATTTTTTGTCAGCAGACTGGTTTGATACAAATTAGTACTCTGTGTATTGTTAATTAACATTAGTATATAGAACTGCTGCCACAGGAATAAATTTCTATAAAATTTTGTCAATAAAATTCATCCTACCAAATGTATTTTGTTAGAAAGTGGGCTTACTAATAAGAATCGGGAAGCTGGGAAGTCGGAGGTGGCAGGCAGTAAGCACAGTGAAGGTCGGTCACTCCAAGTCACGTTCTGCACAGTACAAGCAGGCTTCAGCTAAACACCGCTTCGGAGCAAACACCGGAGTGGAGATGACAAGGCTGTCACCATGCCCAGCGTTACGTGATCATGTAGTGAAATGCTGTCATTAGCCCATGCTCCAGAGGGGAGAGGAACAGTTGTCATAGGAACTGTAACTGTATTTTGTGTTGGAAGGACATTCAGATCTCCCATCTAAATATTGAAATACTGCTACACCTCATAGATAACCTTGTTTCCTCTGTTTAGTAGAAAGCCTCATCCAAAGAGGATAGTGAAATAAACTGCTGTGATTTTACAGAACAGTCTCAGTAGTATCAATTTCTGTCAAAGGACTTATTAGACCCACTTCAGTCAGTTTTGAGGGTAGCTCTTAGATGTGCTGTCTCATTTTTCCAGCCTGTGTGCAGCTACACAGTGCAATCCTTGGAGTAGTCAGCAGGCAGTCCCCTCCTGTAGCTGGCTCCAGGACCACGCACACTGCTACTAGACAAGTTAAACATGAACTAATGCAAATCTTACTGCAGATCCTTATTCACAAGAGCTGCAAATACAAGCCTGGGGTAGAACATTAACCAATTTGGTCTCTTAATTGGATGCTTGGTATGTTTGTTTTCTGGAGGGAAAAAGGAACTAGGATTGAATTGACAATTAGTCAAAATGAACAGGATTTGCCCCACCATCTGCACTGCCCTTTGGCCTTCTCTAGCACAAGAGGAACTCGGCACTTATATGACCGCATCTGCTATGGAAACAGCCCTTCATCTGATCTGCCTTAATCTTGGGATTAGTCTGTCCTGGTTGATCAAAAATGCAGGAGGAAAGATTATGCATCAAAAAGCAGTCTGCCAAACCCAGGAAATGCTCACCAAGGCTCAGAGTTCCTGTCTGAATACTGTGAGAAGAGATAAAACACAGGGCTTTGCTCTCTCCCGGTTTTATGCATTTGTGCATGCACAAAATGGTGGATAGAGCAAGTCACACAGCTGCAAATCCTGTTAGCGCCCAGCAGGCTGTAAGCATTCAACAGTACCTCCAAAGCCAGTGGTTTGACCCTTGGTTCTCAGGTATCTGCTTTTCTATCTGTACCAGCTCATGCTCACCCTGTAATCGAAATCACTGTAATCAACTGTCTCTTTGGAAGCCCCTCTCAAACTGACATTTTACAGGATGTTAAGGACCCCTCTCATTAGTAATGTTTTATCCCTTCACCTCAATTGTGTATTGCTTTCACACCATCAGAGTAGCACAGAAATAGTATTGGGCTTAAGCACCTCAAGTTAAAAAAAAAAAAAATTAGTAAAAGTGTCAGTGTGACTTTTTTATACTGTCACATCTTGGCCATTGATTCATCAGCCAAGGAGCATCACCCTATGACAAGGGACTTGCTAGGACTCCAGCAGCTGAGAGAGGCACTATGGTTGGCTACTCACATGACAGAAGAGCCCAAAGTTAGTTATTATTTCAGCCACAGGGGTAGTTAAAGGATTCTGATGCTGCAAATAGCACTCCTACAGTAACAGTAGGTTATGTGATTTTTAAAAAGTTCATCAGCACACATCCAAAGGAACACACAGACAATGGCATACTGAGGCACT